GCAAGTCTACAATAATAATGTTGTCAAACAAAAAAAAAAACACCATTTTTTGCTGGTACATTTGTTAAAATTTGCCCTTTTTTTAAAAATAGATTCCTGATATAATGGAATAACCTATCACTCCCATGAGTGACTACACTTTAGGTAGTAACTACCTATAAGTATCTGTAAGTCAACAGACTACAAAGACTAGCTGCGACCTGTTCGAGCTAAACAGTAAAACTCTCTGCCTTTGGGCAGAGAGGAACTCGGACGAGGCTCTGCCGAAGGGCAGAGTTTCGTTTGGGGAGGTAGACAGCCCCTGAACCCATTTATACAGGTTTGAATGTAAATATTTTTGGCTGAGCCTACAGGCTCATAGAACCCACGTTAAACTGGCTTTGTGCCACATGCAACCCTTGTGGTTGGATAGCTAAATATACTAGCTGCAATCTGTTCCAGATAAACAGTTGAACTCTCTGCCTCTGAGCAGAGAGGAACCCCAAATGAGGCTCCACCGAAAGGCAGAGTCTCATTCAGGGAGGTAGACTGCCCATGAACCTATTTATACGGATTCGAAAGGGAATATTTTTGGCCGTGCCTACGGGCTCGGAGAACCCACGTTAACCGGGCCTTGTGCCACATGCAACCCTCGTGGTGGGATAGCTAAATATACTAGCTGCAATCTGTTCCAACAAGACAGTCGAACTCTCTGCCTTCAGGCAAAGAGGAATCCAGTTGAGGCTCTGCCAAAGGGCAGAGTCTCGTTCGGGGAGGTAGACTGACCAGATCCCGTTTATGCAGGTTCTATGGGGATTTTTTGGCTGAGCCTACAGGCTCAGAAGGCCCACATTAAACTCGGCCTTGTGCCACATTTATCCTCAAGGTGGTGGTGTGGGGGAGGGGATTTGGCTTGTGAATACCGACTAGCTGGGATCTGTTGAGTACGACTCAGACTTACGCGAGAACTACAGACGTTCCACTAGTAACATTCACTACCGGATTGACTTACGACAACCTTGTGCATAACTGTTACCTTTATTCTTATTGTACTGGTTTTTACAATAAACCTTTACTTATTTTATCCACTTTGTTTTTCAAGTATATATTCCTATTAGGACGGAATATAACAATTCCTAAATGTGTTTTTTTATTTTAAAATAAAAAATATTCCTTGCTTTTTCAAGGGGAAAATTATTTTCTCTCATTTTTTCAATAAAATTTTTCATCATTTTCAGAGAATGTTAACTTTTTATTAAATTTTTAAAAATTTAAATTCAGTTGAAATATTCATATTTTGAATGAAGAATTTTAAGAGTCAATGAGGTGAAAACAAATGTGTGGATTGTGTAAAATGTTTATCAACACATAGAGGGGAATCAGGAAGCCAAGTTCAAATTCTGGTCTAGTCTGTTGCTTTCACTTTTGAAAAAGGCATGAATCTATTGCTCCCTTCTGCCAGCTATGGGTTAAATAGAAGGGTAAACTGAGCTCTCAAGTTTTGGGTAGAAGCTAGTCTAAGAGAACAACAAATCTGAATTCAAAACCATGGAGAAAGCAAAAGGAAAATATTTCACTATCTTTCACAATAAATCATTACAATTCACAGATCATAAATGAAGAAATCTGTGGAGAGCCATGATCACCTATTTCCTATATCCTAACATTTAAAGAATTAATCCTCCAAGTTTTGAATGGGTTAATGAATTTCAGATCTGACTTTCTTCATCCTGTCCAATACTCTTACTACCGATATCACCATGAAGTGTACCCTCCTCCTCTCTCTCCTCCTTCCCTCCCTCTCTCTCCCACTCACTCTGCTCTCTCTCTCTCTCTTTTTTCTCTCTCTCAACCCGTCATTGTCGTCTTCTCTTTCATTTTTTCTTTTCTGTCTGTTATACATAGTCAGTAGTCAACTTCCCCCACCCCGACTCTTTACTCTGCATTTAAATTTATCCTATAGCCAACAAATGCAAATAGATAAAATCCTACATTGTCTTTTTAATCACTGTTATATCTTATCAGGCCTTAGAAAGTCAACAGTGCTTCTTAACACTCAATTCAACTTTCATCAACTTCATGATAACAAAGATAAAAAAAAAAACATAAGATGTCCCCAACCCCAACCCATACAACAATTTATTTAGTATAAACATTCCCCCCCCCTTTTTTACGACTGGACCAGTTTATTTAATATGTGTTTAAAACTCTTCTGTGACTTATTTATCCTATAGCCAACAAATGCAAATAGATAAAATCCTACATTGACTTTTTTATCACTTTTATATCTTATCAGGCCTTCGAAAGTCAACAGTGCTTCTTAAAACCCTCTTCAACTTTCATCAACTTCAAGATAACAACGATAAAAAAAACAAAAACATACGATGTCCCCAACCCCAAAAACAATTCAGGGCTTATTATGGAATTTATTTAGTATCAACATTCCCCACTCCCTTTTTTTTTTTTTACGACTGGACCAGTCTATTTAATATGTGTTTAAAACTCTTCTGTGACTTACCAAAGACAAAACGTTAAGCATCATTTGTCTTGGACTGAAAAATCTTGAACCCAATAAACTCAACCATTGTATCTGCTGGGGTCATCCAATCAGTTTGCTGCAGCCAGTCACTTTGGATGATTGATCACTTTGTCATGAGGACAGTTTGTCAATAGAGTAATTTGTTATCAAGACAGGAAACAAAACAGGAATAAATGAAAAAATAAAATTTCATATTTGAAATTTGATTTTAGAAGTTTAACATTAAATATTGAAAGGTTTAAAATGGATTCTTTCTTCTCCTTGAATCAATTCTTAATAAGAGATGGTAAATTTTGCACTTACTTATTGTTGAAACATGATTACATAATCAACTTTTCTTAATTTTTATCTGTTTAGTTCAGATGAATACAAAGAGAATGAGATAGATAGATAGATAGATAGATAGATAGATAGATAGATAGATAGATAGATAGATAGATAGAAAGAAACAGACTAAGATTGATACATAGATATAAACAGACTAAGATAGGAACAGACTAAGATAGATAGATAGGAACAGATTGAGCTATCTATCTATCTATCTATCTAGATAGATAGATAGATAGATAGATAATGAATGAACAGACCGAGATAGATAGATAGATAGATAGATAGATAGATAGATAGATAGATAGATAGATAGTAGGTATCTGTAATAATAAAATAAAATAAATGATTTGTTTTTCATTATTAGACTAATGAAGTATTGACATGTATTGTTCAAATTGAAGAAAATAATTTTGAGACTACAAATAAGCAAAATTTACTTTTCTAAAATAAGATCAAAACAGCAAAAAATATTAAATATAAAAATCAAATTTCTGAGCAATCAGCACAAAATAAGCAACATTTTTCAACCAATAAATATAAAGAATCCTAGTTTCTAAAAGTCATTTGCTGTTTCCAGCCATTAAAGTCTTGGATTAGGATAATGACTAAGAAAATATAACTGAAAGAATTTGATCAAAAACTTCAGGAAAATGTTTACTCATATGATAATAGGAAAGTTGAAATGAAAAAAATAATTTAAAAAATAGACATAACTTGGATGTGATCTTTAACCAAGGAGTAATAATGGAGTATTGAAAAGTTCTTGACCCAAACAAAAAGACAATGACCAAGAGCCTTGAAATGTATATTAAATGTACATTTCACATATTCAGCCCACAATTCAAAATATTCATCATTTTGCAAGCTACTTTAGTTTTTCTACTGCTGTCACCTTTAAATCATTTGAAAATCTGCTCCTTTTCAAAATCCTTTTTCAGGAGATAATCAAAGGGAGCAAAATCTCTTTATTATGCTTGTTGGTCTATTCATCGAAACCCTAAATTATTCAAAATATCCCCCACCTTGCCAACCCGGCAAGCAGGTGAATTATTCTGCAAAAGGTGAACACTTTCCCTCCAGCTTTTCTCGTTGGTTCTCCCTCAATATCCACTTTGATCAGCACAGTTAGCATGGTCATTTGAATTAAATTCTTTGGCTCCTTTGAATATTGTCATTAAAATATTTTTCTTATCCCTAATATTATGGTTTTGATATTTCCTGTTGACTTGTAGAGGACTGTGTGGTTTACGTGTTGTTAAATTAGAAGCATGTGCATTTATTTCCTGCTAGAAGAAGGTCCAACTACAAGAACATGGAAGACTCAAGTTGAGTCCAACCGAAGATGTAAAGAAAACAAATAAGACCAAAATATATATGTCAACAAATATATGTATTAAACAACAAATGACAAAGACATCAACATTTGTGTTTGTGTGTGAACATAGTTTGTATATTGTGAAAGTTCATACGTACATGTATGTGTGTTTCATGGCATTTTTCCACAAGTGGGTGAAAACGCGGATCTCTGCGAGAGATCACATTTTTAAAGTGTCTGCTAAAATGCAAAGTGAAAAAGAGAATGAGGCAAGAAGTCACCCAGTATTTATAGTGTAGGGATAGTGACCCCTAGTGAACAATTAGGGAATTAAGGAGGAGCTAACTCCAACAGACTTTTGGGTTTTGAATTTCTCTGGCTATGGTGAACCCATGTGCTACCACTGCAGAGACTGTTGTCTCTGGATCATAGTGATATAACAATGTTTTATGAGCAGTGACAAGTCACTCCAAAAATATATCACCTGATTACAGAAACAACTAGAAAACTAAACTGGAGATGTCCACTCATTTGTATCTGGTCGGCATTCAAACTATCTTTGTTAACAGTTTCTGTATAGCCAAATGCTCATGAAGTATAAATCGAACATATTCCTTGGATAATTTTAGTATCTCAGCAGTTCTTTTAGCTAAGATTTTTGATCAGTCAAAATTTATCACTTTATCAGCATGTTCATCAATATGTTATCTATTTATTAATATGTTCAACATTTTGAGGAATTGACACTGTTTCATAAGGACTCCCAGATCATGTTACATTTTCAATCTTAAAATCTCAATACTGCAAGTTGGTCCACCACTTCACATCCATTTTCCAATGAGAAAGATCCAAGAAGTGGAAAAAAATGTTGTTCAAAATTTATTCTAATTTAAATCTTTGCCAAAACATGATTATCAATTGTGACACTTATCAACATGTGAAGATTATCTTAATGTGAAGATTATTAAAATGTGAAGATTATCTTAATGTGAAGATTATTAAAATATGAAGATTATTAAAATGTGAAGATTATCTTAATGTGAAGATTATCTTAATGTGAAGATTATTAAAATGGGAAGATTATCTTAATGTGAGGATTATCTTAATGTGAAGATTATCTTAATGTGAAGATTATTAAAATGGGAAGATTATCTCCATATGAACAAAAATTCTCATTTTGGGTAAAAAAAATAACTTTGTAGATGCAGTTTTCATTCCAGAGAAAAAAAAATCCTGAATGATATTAAAATATCTATAAGATTTTTTGTTTTTAATATTCAGAATATTTCAAGAACAAAAATGAAGAAAACTACAATAAATTTGGTATTAGTTCAATAAAAAGAGAAACCATTCTATGATTTCTTCTTCTAGATTTAACCAAATTCTTTTATGGCCAAATCAAATACCTTCTTTTCAACCACCAAATTCATTCATCATCCTGACCACTAAGTATTACAATTTCCCAATTAAAGATATCTATCCTTCTTAATATTTGAATATAAACAGAATTTATTGTAAATCTGTATTTAATCTGCATGTGACTTGCATTATTTTTAATTAGTATTTCAATGTTGTCATCATCAATGATTTCTAGTCTACTAGAATGTTCTCAGAGAACCACTTACAAACAGTACTTTCAGCTATGTCACCATCTGCATAAATGGCACATATCTTTTGTGCTGTTTATACAGCTTTTATTTCTGGAAATGAAAGAGCATCAAATTACAAAAAGGCATCACATTTTCCACCAGTTTCACTTTTAACATACAAAAAGGAAAAATTCACAATCTACATATAAATCACATAGAAAAAGTTATGTGTGAGACAAAATCATGTGTTTAAACACCAACTACTAAAAATTGCTCCAAAAATTGGTTCTAACCCAATATTTAATTTACTAATGTGTTTACTTCTGTTTGCTCTTCAAGAGAACAACAAAATCAAAACTTCAAACGGTAAGAACAGATGACATTTACACAAATTCACCCAATAATTAGGTTCATCAAAAAGGTTTTAAAATAGAGATAATAAAAATTAATTCATTTTTTTCTTGTATATTTTTTAGACATCAATAGATTTAATAATTTTGATTTCTCTTTATTTTGAAGTTTTTACATTTTCTTTCAAATCTTATTTTACTCATGTGGCAAATTTACATTTTTAAAAATTAAATTATTGAATATATATATATATATATATATATATATATATATATATAATTTATTTGATTGGAAATAAAAAAAAAATCTACTACATATAAGCAAATAGAAGTTTTGTTTTTTTTGTTGTTTTTTTTTATTTCTCCAATGTTATTGTTTAAATAAAATCATTATTTTTGCTATGGAGACAATCCACCAATTTGAAGGTTCTTTTTTTGGTGGTAGGGTGGGGGGTATCTTTATTAATGGTTTGTCATAAGTCAATGAATAAAAAAAAAAATTTTAAGTATATTCATATAAATAATATATTTTAATTTTAAATCAATTTTATTTGTTATTTTAGTTTTTATACAGAATAGAGCTTCTTGTGTATGAAAATTGTGTATATTTAAAAGAAAGAAAGAAAGAAAGAAAGAAAGAAAGCAAACAAAGAGAGAGAGGAGAGTAGAGAAGGGTAATTGAAAATATGCGTACGATTAAAAAAAACGGGGAAAGTTATATAAAAGAGAAGAACGGAAGGAAGAAGGAGAGTTGTGGGATGTAAATGGAGACTGAGGGAAACACCTGTCAGGCGTGACTGATGGAAACCAACACACGCACTTGTAAGCAATGTTTCGATTAGTCACTACTGGCACATGTCAAATTACATCTTCTCTCGACTGCACATGTAAATCACTTAGTTAAAAACCAGTGTGTATCTCGATGTGACACATACGGATTGTATTTTCCTATTATTTTTATTAATTTAAACCTGCCACTCAGCCTGATTGGACACTTAACAAAAAACAGGTTATTATTATTAATTTATTATATTTACTAACATCCTAATCATCACCCAGCCATCTGATTTTTCACTAATTTTGGGCGTGAAAGATTTTTTTTCTCTCATCTTCTCTTCTGACAACAGCCTTTCCTTTTATTTAGATATTTCTTCAGTAAAATCTGCATTTTATTTTTAAAAAGCAACATGTTCATATTTCATTTTTTAGATCCTAAAAAATGCCTCCTTATTCATTCTTTCAATGGCAGTGATGTTGATAAAAAAACTAACATCTGACCTTTTCTGTAACCATCACAAGTTTCTCAACTCAAATGACATTACAAGTTCTTCATGGGATTCTTTTTTTTTTTTTCTTTTTTACGTTTATTTTTCCCCATTGTAACTGTTAATATTTTATTTTTAAGCCTTTTTATACGCCCCTCCCCCAGTGGCCGATTGATTATTCAATGCTGCAGTTTGATCAGAGATCAATAAGTGAAACCGGCTTTATTTCTGTTGTGTGTATTGGGGGGGGGGGGAATTTGTCCCAAACCTTTTTAAAAAAACCTTTGAAAAAAGAAACAAAAACTATTTTTTACCCACCACAAAATAGTTGATAAATCTATCTTGATGAATTTGATAGATTTTTTTTTTAAATATTTCTTAGATAGATTTATTTTTAAACTAAAAAAATCTTTCATTAATCCTCACGGGGAAAAGCAATATGTCAATTATAGAAACACTTTTTACTACTGTAAATGCTTTTTTGTGAGCTTTACGTTTTGTTTTTTTTCCAACGTCAGTCCGAAAGATTTTTTTTTTTTACCTTAAAACTAAAAGCCGTTTTTTAAGGTTTTTTTTTTTTTTTTTTTACTACTTTTACAAAACGTTTCCTAAGTTTGGCTTTTTTTGTATGTCTCTTTAAAAAATACATTTAAGAGTTTTCATATTTTTCTTTTATCTCAATCAAAAACACCAAAATACGCAGACAATTTTTTTTTTCTTTTAGGAAATACTTATTGATCAAGCCAAAAATAAACTAAAGATTGTTTCTGTATTTTTTGTATTCGCTTCTTAATTGTCAAATTCTTGAATAAAAACCTCTGATTTTATGCATTTGTCTACCCAGTTACAACAGATTTTTGTTACTTAGTAAATCTAAAAACTAAATTTGTTGTCGAAAAGCAATCGGTCTTGTTTCCAAATGTTGCGAAGTCTGCAAATCGTTAAAAAAAAAACTTTTCTTCGTTTTAGTTTTAAAAATCTTGTAAACAAATTTATAAATTCTTATCGCTTTAATTAAAATGACTTTTTTAAAAATGTCTCCACAAATCTTCAAAACTCTTTCTCACTTTTTCGTCTTAACTTTTTTTTTTTTCTAAATTAAAGAAAAAAAAAAAGAACTTTGTCAAGAAAAAGTGATTGCCGATTTCCCTAAAATAAATTAGTAATTAATATTAATTACTATTATTTGTTCCATATTTGCAGGCACTTTAAATGGTTTTTTGTGTATTTCAAATAGCAAATTAGATTTTAGGTGTTTTTTTTTTTCTTAATCATAAACTCAGCTTTTCTTTCTTTCGTGGACCTATTTTCTTGTCTGCATTCCAAATTAATTCCGAAAATGCTGATGAGTTCGTAACTCTTTCTTAACCTCGATTTACAAAGTTCAGATACAATTGTTTTTTCGTTTTAAATCAAATTCTTGCTAACAATTTTTTATTTTTTTTATTCCTCTTAAGGGAGGAAGAAAGTCTTAAAAATACCAAACATTCTTCTAAAAAGCATTTGCTACAGGTTAAAATTTTTTTATATATATCGAGATTTTTTAGACAATTTTCAATTTGTCATGAACAAACAAAACTTACTTTTTGGGGAAAATGTTTTTCCAAAATTCCTTCTGGTTTTCAACTATTTTACCACCCACAACCTAAAAATGAATATGATTCCTACTTAAAAATTCAGCTGATATCTTTCTTTCTTTTTTTTTTTTATTCGTTATTAAAAATAATGCTTAATGTTTTACTGGGGGTTTTTAGTTTTTGTTTTAAGGAAAAAAATAGTTTGTTTCCGACCCAAGTAGAACTGCAAATGAATTACGTTCATAAATTTATAACTTATTATTCAAGCTTTTTTTTGTCTGTCTGTTTTTTTCTTTTTTCTTTTTCTTTGAAATTATTTCCGCTGGAAGCAACCCCACCCTTTTTAAAGAAAATTATAGCTTCTTAAGGCAAATGTAAAAAGTCAGTAAACTAGTTTAAATAAAAGATGTTATCTACAAGTCTGAAATGAAGTAATTTACGTCAGTTATTTTAATTTAGTTTGTTTTTCTTTTATTTCAAATGCTTTTAGGGATTTTATTTTCTTTAAATCTTGTTTCGTGTTAGTTTGCTAGCAACAAGTCAAGCGGAAAGTAAGTTACTTTGAAATTACGAACTGAACAAACGTTATTTTCCTAAATAGTTTTTCTTAATGGCATTTTGAAGTTAATAACATTCATTAACCTGGAAGATTCGTTTCATTCTCGCCCAGGAAAAATCCCCATTTTTTTTTTTTTTTTAAATATGGTGAAATTGAAATACCTAAGATCTCCTTTTTAAACTGAACAATGAGTTGTGAGAATGAAAATAAAACCATATGTCACCCACGCACACATGTGTTCCACACCCCTGAGGAAATAAGTGCAGTGGTCAGTCAGAAGCAGGCACTAAAAAAATACCTCCTCATTGTACAGAAATTTCAACGGTGGCTGTTTCTTTTTCTTTTTTCTTTTTTTTTTTTTTTTTTTTTGTTTTTGTTTTAATAACGCTTTCTCCAAGCGTAGCGTAGATGTGGCACAAGGCCGAAAGTATGGGCACCCAGTGAGGTTCGAACTCCCTACACAGTCGTAATTGTTCTAGCGAGACAAACTTGTGAACCATTACACCACCACTAGGTGTCCTTACTAATTTATAATTTAATTTTCTCAACCTAGTTATGGGTTTTTAAAAAGTCGAGACGGGTCCCTTGAATCCTTGGTTAGCAACCAGTCTGAGAACAACTCTGTATTCAAGACCATGGAGATGACAACAGGAAACTATTCTACTATATTTTTTCCAAAAATAATCCTAGAAATATGGAGCTTAATTACAAAGTAGGCAAGTCTAGTGACTTCATGCTACCACAACCATCGGTGACTTCCAGAACTGTTTTGTCTAACCATTTGCACGCACAAGACTTGGGTCAGCTGGTTTCACTTCCCAATAGTTCTGCCCTTTGGATCATCTCTCTAGCATAATATTATAAAGAAGCCGTTACTGTTTTGACAAATCGACTATAGTTAGATTCAAATGTATATTGCATGGTTAAAATGTTAGTTTAAAGAAAATAGGAGCTATGGAGATCTACGATCACTTGGGTCTTGAAAAAAAAAACTGACATTTAAAGCCAGAACTGTATTTTACACTTAAATTTTTTTTTCTTTAAATATCCCTACAATGAATCTGGCCACAGTATTTAGACTCGGGTAGGATCCAATTCACTACACAAGCAAATTGGTCTGAGAAATAAACTTACAGCTGGCATTTTTGAAGCAAGGTGTTATCATTACTAACTTGTCTTGAGAGAGAATGACTAATAGTAATATTAGCATTGGCACTGGGGATTTATTTCTAAGACTATAACTCCCCAATGCATTGAAAGAAGAGTTTGGGAATTACTTGATGTCTACTTTAATATCAAGGTGGGACAAAGTATCTCCTTTTGTATTATTATTTTTTTATTTTAATGACCTGCAATAAAAATTACTGTGGTATCCGCAGATATGGTTGAATTATTTTCCAATTGAAACCTTAAAATTCCATTCTTCAAATTGAATCCCTCTAAAAGATTCATTTTGAACAGTGTCAATGCATTCTTTGAGCTCTCTAATGTTGAAGAGCTTAATATTAATAAATGATGCAGGTATGGGATTTCATTATAAAATTCTTTATTAAAATCCATTCTCTTGACTGCAATTCCTCCATGTTCTAAGAAAAATGACAGGTACCTTTAGCAGATGTTGCTAATGGAGAATACTTGAATGCCTTGTTCTGCAATTGTACCATTGAAGAAATTTCTGTAAGATAAATGTTATAAATATTCAAAAACTTATTTGTCAATTGAACAAATAGAAGAGGTCAAAGCAGTCTCTGAAATTTGTCCTTGACAAAGTGTCACTTACTGTTCCAGTTTTCAAATTTTCTTTCTGACATTTGCTTATAATCAGGTCTTCAAGATAAAAAAAATAAATATACCTGGTAAACCAGAAAACTTGGAAAACATCAACAGGTATATTTTAATGATTGAAAAATTTGTCTGTAAACATTCAGAATTTATACTTTTGTCAATTTAGCAACACCTTGTGTGTTAGTCTTTTATCAGTTTTTTTTTTTTTTTTTTTTTTTTCAAAACCAAAATTATTTTACTTTTCATTCCCAGTGATGTTTCTTTCCATTCTAATCCATTTTCTCTTCATTATTATCCTTAAACTAAAATTTCCTCCTCACTTTTCTTTGTATTTTCAAGAAAATATAGTACATTGCAAAAAATTGTATAACTGTTTTTTCAGTCATTTAAAATTTAATTTCTTTTTTTTTTTTTTTCTTTCAAAAAGAATATGAACTTTTTTTGTTTTGACTGAATTTGATATAGTGAATTATTTCTTTCTATTTAGACTAATATCCTCATTTTGATTGTTTATATTCACAACATTTTTGGCCATTTCTGCACCATCCAAGTAGAAAGATATCAGTGCATTAAATATGTGCTGATGATTACAATTGTTTTACTCTCCAGCATTTTTCACTGTCTTTTATCTTAATTTCATTCCACAGGGTTTGATGGCCATGCTTTTCTATCTGTACATGATCAGCCATGCCTGATTTCAATGTTTCTTCCAGGACTACAACCTTTTGATGATCTTCTATTCTTACTTTTAATGGGAAGCTGGTTTCACCTTCAGTAGATCTGGCATAATGAACTCCATGAAAAGACATCCAAACATTCCACC